AATGTAAATTGATACAGCCACTATGGAGGACAGTATGGAGGTTCCTTAAAAAACTACAAATAGAACTACCATATGACCCAGCAATCCCACTACTGGGCATATACCCAGAGAAAACCATAATTCAAAAAGATACATGCACCCCAGTGTTCATTGCAGCACTATTTACAATAGCCAGGTCATGGAAGCAACCTAAATGCCCATCAACAGATGACTGGATAAAGAAGATGTGGTACATATATACAATGGAATATTACTCAGCCATAAAAAGGAACGAAATTGGGTCATTTGTAGAGACATGGATGGATCTAGAGACTGTCATACAGAGTGAAGTAAGTCAGAAAGAGAAAAACAAATATCGTATATTAACGCATATATGTGAAATCTAGAAAAATGGTACAGTTTAACCACTTTGCAGGGCAGAAATAAGAGACACAGATGTAGAGAACAAATATATGGACACCAACTGGGGGAAGCGGTGGGTGGAGGGGTGGTAGTGTGATGAATTGGGAGATTGGGATTGACACGTATACACTAATATGTATACATTAGATAACTAATAAGAACCTGCTGTATAGCACAGGGAACTCCACTTTGCTATACAGTAGAAACTAACACAACCTTGTATAACAACTACACCTCAATTAAAAAAAAAAACTTGATTTTATCCTGAATGTTAGTTTAGTAGAAAGGAAGATATGTGTAACACGAATAAATAAGAATAAATGCAAAGAGTGGAGAAAGTACAAGAAGTTTTACCGTGATGTATCTTGTACATCTTACTTATTATTGTGTGACTGAATCAATCTTTTGTGTAGCTAAAAAAATGAAGAGATTACAATTAAAATGTCAAAAAGTATTTACAATAAGTTTAATGCTGCTTTCTGTTTCTGGAAATTTCCCTCGTGTCCCCACCCCTCCCCCTCTGGCCTACTGGAAAGAGTTCATATATTAGGGCGCTAGTTCATAATTTGTCATTTATATCATTTTATTTTTGAGGATTTTAGCAATGAAATGTACTTAAAATTTTGACCCCACTAATGTAAAATCTAGTCTAGATTATAATATGTTGTCTTAGAAAACTTATTGGATTTTTAATTACAAGGGCAATATATAATTTTACCAGAAAGTGTTGCATAATAGTAGTGATAGCAGACATCCTTGTCTTTTTGCCACTTCAAGTGGGAATGAACTTAAAACTTCAGCATTCAGAAAAGTCAGTGACGTTTTTCTTTTCTTTCCCCTTTTTGTTTTAAAAAAATAAGGTGCCAGTATCCACACTTTTATACACTGTAATTTGTCTTCCCCATCTTTTTCATGTTTATCCTACTTTAATCGCTTCTCTTTTTCATTGGAATATGAATATCTTATTTATTTCAAATGAGTGAATAGCTCAACCTCAGTAAAGGGGGGAAAATGAGAAGGAGGAAATAATGAAGAAGGAAAGAAGAGGGAGGAGGAGGAAGAACACTGGCAGCCATTCATAAACAACTCCCCACAGCATAGCTTATATGGTCAACGTATTCCCCACTCCTGCAAAAAAATACCGCCAATAAGGTTTTAGACCATGGTCTTCCACATATTTTCACATGTATTCATAAATAGATATGTAGACTTTCTCTAATTAGACATAGGCATATTTCTCTATATGTTTATGCGTTTTCACTTAGTATATTGTGGGCATTATTTAATGTCAATATGTAGAGATCTAAACGACCATTCTAAATTACTGAATGTATGAATATACAATACATTATTTAACCAGGCCCTTCTTAATAGATGTTTGTAAAATTTGTTCAATTACTTTTCTATTGAGAACAATGAATGAACCTACTTTTACATACATTTTTGCCCAACTGCCTAAACAGTTCCTTAAGATAAATTTTAATGAAATTAAGTTTTTAAAAGTGTGTGCACTTCAAAAAAACCACACAGATGGTCCCCGAGTTATAGTAGTTCAATTTACGATTTTTTGATTTTACGAGGATACAAAAGCTATATGCATTGAGTAGAAACTACACTTTGAAGTTTTGAATTTTGATCTTTTCCTGGCTTAGCAATATGCAGTATGAGAGTCTCTTGTGATGCCGGGCAGCAGCAGGAGCCACGGTTCCTGGTCAGCCACGTGATCATGAGGGTAAACAACCAATATACTTGCAACCATTCTGTATCCACACAACCATCCTGTTTTTCATTTTCAGTACAGTATTCAATAACTTACATGAGATACTCAACACTTTATTATAAAATAGGCTTCGTGTTAGATGATTTTGCCCAACTGTAGGCTAATGCAGTGTTTTGAACACGTTTAAGGTAGGCTAGGCTCTGATGTTCAGTAGTTTAGGTGTATTAAGTGCATTTTCGACTTACAGTATTTTCAACTTATGATGGGTTTATGGGGATGTAATCCTATCGTTAGTTGAGAAAGACCTGTATATACATTTCAATCTTCCTGAAATTCTATACCAATTTACACCCTTACCATTAGTGAAGACAATTTATATATATACACCTTCAGCATCACTAAAATTTATCTATCTTTTTATTACTCTTAGCAGATCCCTTTTTAGAAGTCTGGGAAAGCAGGAAGAGAAGAAAAGAAAAATGTCCACAAAACTGTTGTGATCCTTCAGTCTATTTAGGACTGAACTGATGACTTACATCAATTTTCAGTTTATACATTTAATTTATCCTGGGGAAGTTCTTCAACCTCTTCTGCAAAATCCAGTTTTAATTTCTATTTGTCTACATCCTTTCATATGTGATTTGGACGGGTGCAGGCTATTGAATATAATGGAAGAAATTTCTTAGGGCTTCCCTTGAGCTATTTCATAGTTCCTGCTTTAATAGGCAGGAGATAGTTAAGAAATAATGATTCAGCTATTTCCTACAGATTTCACAATTCTACATTCAATAAAGAAAATGTGAATTCCTGGAAGGTATGGTATTTGTGAGGTATTTAAGGTCAGTTCCCATGGAGAGCCTGGACACATCCACACCCTGCTCATAGAATTCCATGTTGCAGAATCTGCTAGTTTGGTGAATTGGCAAATGCGATTTGAGCATCACCATGTGAGTTGCAGGTTCCTTTAGTGTCAGAATATTTTATAGTAAAGTTTAACTGTTGACTAAAATGGCAGCAATGTTTTTTTCAGTTTTGGCAGTCATGAAGGGGAGCCTTGATGGATAAAATCTTGCCTATCTCATGATCTGGATTATGAATGTGAAAGGATATTACTAAAACCAAAAGCATAAATAGGCAATATGTTGTTCCACCTTTAATTGGTTTACTTAATGAATCATAGTGGTGAATTCCCTAATGCTGAACCATGAGATGGATTTTAAAATATAGAGATAAAATAAATGAATAAGATGATATGAGTGGGATATATTCAAGTTTTGAGTACTTATTCCTAAACTGAAGAAAATGTCTCAGAATATGAAACATTAGAACTATGAAACTGTTGCTGCAAAACCCAAGCTTTGCCTGTTGGCAAGGGTGGGGATTTCGTTTAGAATGGAGCAGCAGGTACAGGTGGAAATGTCTCCTCTTCAAGGGAGTTGGGACGGGGGACAGGAGATGATAGGCAAATAAAATATTAATTTTTATGTGTTAGTAAGACCCATAGATTATAATATTATTCTTACAATAGTAAGGTAATATTTAGAGGCATGGGGAATCATCAAATAACATTAATTTAAAAGTGAGAGTGAAAGGATAGAAGAAAAACTTAGGAGGACTAGTAAAAGGCTTAATATGATGAGCCAGAACATAGGGAGAGGTAAAAATAGAAAAATTAATAAATAGTAAATATTAAATATGATGAGACTAAGACAAAACTATTAATCTTCATAATAAATTCAAGTGAACCAAATTTCCCTATCATGTAACAATGAATATCAAACTGAATTTTAAAATATACACAGATATATGTTGTCTGTCAGAAACACACCTGAAATAAAATGAAAACAAAAGTTGAAAAGAAACGGATGTTCAGAATCACAAAGACAAATGCAGATAAAAATGAAAGAAGGGCTGACAGTATCGATATATCAGATGAAGCAAATACACAACAAGTGCATTAAATGAGACAAAGGGATTATTTTATCATGGTAAAAGCTAAAGTCCAAAGCAAAGTTTATATCTTTATTCACCAGGCACACAGCATCAAAAATACATAAAGCAAAATCCTTCACAAATACAAAGATAATTTAATCAAGTAAAGCTGCAATGCATTAAAAATAAGGTCAGCAGACTCCTTTTCAAATATTTACAGACACACACACACATATATTTAAAACATTTGTATTTTACTGACAGAGAATATGCATTCTTTTCTCATATTTTAGAGCATATACAATTGTGAATCATATTTCTTCTCACAGAGAGCAATTGAGGCTATATTCTTCAATCCAATAAAACTAGGAAGGAACAACAAAATCATGAATAAATAACCAAAAGTACTCTTCTAAACAACCACCAGATCAGAGTATAAATCAGATGATAATTAATGGCAAATTAATTAATTTTATGAGCACCTCACTTCAAAATGTATGGAACTGTGGCCTTGAACATTTTTATATCAACAAAGAAAGCCTGAAATTTAACAATTAAGAATTCAACTTAAGGAAGGAGAAGACTAAATTTTATTATTCTGAGAGTTGAGCAATTTTAGGCTTCTGGTTTATCTAGTATATTTAAGGTCATAGTGCACAGAATTCATGGCGAGGCAGGCCTGGCAAGGATTCAGACCTATTTTTGACGATTTTTCTGGTGCAAGCAGCAGAATGAGTCAGGCTGCTCTGGCCCTGCAGAGCCCAGGGTGGATTCCCCACTAGGAATGCAGAAGAGGTGTCTCAGTCCGGTGTGGGGACTCTTAGGGCATCACCCCACATTGAGTGCTTCTGAACCACCAGCAGCCTTGGCCTACTTGCCGGTTCTCCTCAAGGCCCCCTGCAAGACTTTCAGTTAGGAGGCAGGGTTCTGGGAGAAGCTGCCTCACCCAAAGGTGGAACCCCATGTGAGCCAAGAAAGGCCAGATGCTGCCAGGGATGATTCAGGGATGAGGTCACTTTGGAAGAGCTCCAAGCACTTTTTCCCCAAATCATCATCTACACTTTGGCAGCTGGATGCGCACCCAGGGGTCTGGGTGGTTCTCAGCACCATGGTGCCGGGGCTGGGGAGCTGCTGGAGGAAAGTTACTGCTGCAGTGGTGCAGGTTGTGCCTTGCACCAGTGCCCACCAGGGGCCAGCTGGACCTTCAATCCAGCCCCACTCCACCCGCCAAGTGGTCCCTTGGTTTGCCCACATCTTCATTCCCCCATGAAGGGTCACCTTCTGATTTGAACAAAGGTGTCTTGGACAAAAAACAGCCGGGGTGATGGTGATAGTCAAAGCTTGCAGTACAGGTCAGATGCTGCCACCCTTCTGGTCCCAGAGAGGAATTTAGGAAGCCATACAGATATTGAAAATATGAACTGAGGCAATGGTCCGGCTCAACCTTCCACAAAGAGGTGGGGACCGAGAGAAGGGACACAATGTCTTCTGGAAAGTTGAAGTCTGGGAGGCCACAAAGGCAGGGGCTTAGTGTTCCCTCCTGTACTCCACCTTGCTTCCTCTAAAAGAGGACACGGTCTTTTATGTCACGATGCTGTGCCAGCAGGTGTTATGAGGCTGTGCCGGCAGGTGTGAAGATGACCTCCACTGTCTGAGCTGTGATTCTGGGATCCCTCGGCCTCCAGCCATGAAACAAATGGAGCTGGCCTCCCCTTTAGCATCACATACATCAGATGTGGCCTGAGCATGTGCAGAGCCCAGGACAGGCCTGAAGCTTCCCATCACATCAAGGGCTGCACACACTGCACACAGTGCCACCTTCCACTGGTTTAAGCATCCAGCTTTGAAAAAAGGCAGAGCTCTTCCAATCCTTTGAAACCCAACAGATTCAGTGTACCATGCAGGGCTCTATGTTATTCCGGGAACTTGCTACCCAGTCCCAAGACCAGCAGCATCAGTATCCTCAGAGACAAGATCCCCAGGTGACCGGTGTGCATGTACAGATTTGGGAAGAACTGCCTACCAGACCGTCTCCTTTCTAAGTTAGAATCAGGCCAAGAAAAGATATGAAACTGTTTTAAAGCTAAAATCTTGGAGTGGTGTGTGGTTGCCAGCTCTCTCTCTTTCTCTCCTGCTTAAGTTCCTGCAAAACTCTTGAACGCCAGGTCCTATGGATAATTGAGAATTGCTGTCAGCATATGTGGCTTGTTTCATTCCTACCTGCAGCCCCACATCTGATTCTAATGTCTGTAGTTCTCAATGTTCTCTGGGGCCCTGCTGTTTGAAGAATGTAATGTAAATGCCACTCAGTTGGACAGCAAAGGACTTGCTCCTGATGAGTTTATCCTTTTCAGAACCCTGAACCAGTTAGTTCTCATCTTAAAAAATGTCAGGGCTTCAAATTCTAAATTCATTAGGAAACACCACCTTACACTCAGTGCTTCTGTTTCCTACACTTCAGTGACCTGTCAGATACGTGACCTGTTCATCTCCCTTCTTCCGAAGGTAACAATCTCTTATAAGCAAGCCAAGATTTAACAAAAATGCAGAAATTAGCTGCTTAGGAAGGGGCAATTTTATTTGTGTTTTTTTTAATGTTCCTAGGTTTGATTTAGACAGTCTTTTACATTTCTATGGCATGGTTTCAACAATAACAGCATACGCTTTAATCATCATTTTGTTTACGGTGAAGTATAGATTAGTAAATAGTCCATTCATCGTGAGGAAGATTTCCAGATATCTATTAGATACATGTGCTTGGTGAGACCAGTTTTAAGGACCAGAAAAGTATCTTTTTAAACATCACATTTTCGAATTCCCCAAGGCACTCAACTTTCTCACCATGATACTAAAGAAGTGAATAGGGTATATTCTATTTAACCAGCTGAGTTCTCATCTCTGTGGAGTCACAAAAAGGAAAAACAAGGTCTCTCTCAGTTTACAGTCTAGAGTCACATCCACAAAATAGAGAAAATTGAATATTGCGTAGCTTGAAGGTCAAAGAAGAGAGAACCCATTACTTGCTGTAGGAATCTGCATACATAACGTGTGACTTGAACATTCCACATAAACAAAGTCAGGGTACTCAGTGAATGTGGGTATGGGAATAATTCAATGTCAGCCAGCATCTGTGTGCAGATAAACTCCAAAATGCCTTTTCCAGCATTTCTAATTTCAAATACCTCCTTTCTCTTCTAGCTAAAAAAGAATTTCAGGATGATGTCCTACTCATGACGAATATACTGGTTAGGGACCAGGGTCCATGTCATGGGGCTGGGAATGGAGAGGAACTTGCAGGCCATATCAAGATGCCCATCACATACACACAGAATGAGGAAAGCTGGGATTCAACTTTTAACAGTATAATAGATCCTCTGACTATCAATGTAATACATACCCACTGCCAAAAAATAGAAAATACAGGAAGATAATAAAAGAAGCTATTTGATTCTAACATATTAATCAGAGACAATTGCTATAAGCATTTAGGACTATATTTACCAGGATTTTGTGTGCATTTATATTCAAATATAAATGCATGTACTGGTATCTTACTGCGAATTCCTGGAGTCCCAGGACCGTGGAGGAGACAGAAGAGGGATAAGGAAGCTACAATTCAACCAGTCTCTTTTGGTTGAAGTTGCTTTGTCTTGCATTGATTTTCAATGCAATCATTTTGATATATGTTATGACAAGTTGCCCTCTTTAGCACCATTCAGTGTTCGCTATGCTGCCTACCCTGTTCTAGGTGAGGTTTGACAAATGTGCACACTGTTCAAAATGGAGTCTTAGAGTTATTTCGTGGCCTTTGATTTAGTAAGCAAATAAAAATTGGGAGTTAGTTATTTCTTAAAAGGTTTCAAATGTCTATATCTGCTTCAATATGAGAAAAATGTCAAGTCCTACAAGATGTAATTCTGATGTAATTAATATGAACCTTTTCACTGGGCTTGTACACCTCTTAATCCCAAATCACCTGTTTACTGCAGAATGGGACTGCTTGACAGAGAACTGATGTCTTAAAGACATCATTATTCTAGACCCTGTGAAAGAGAGAAATCTATGACTAATGTGGGCCTTGACTCATAGGACTCACTGTCTAGAATGGGAGCTATGCCATATGGAATGTACTAATGATGAGCTGCATGATGAGCTTCACGACGAGTATACATTCCAGAAAAATGCAGAGGCGATTTGCCTTTATGACTCACTGAGGAATCCCAGTTGCTCTTTTTGGTTCTCTTGGGCATCATGTTCCTCAGGAAACCTTTTCTCTGAGCCCTAGTTTAGGCTAGAGACCCTTTCATGGTACTTCCATTAGGCTATGCATGTCTCTATCATTATACTAACTCCATTTTTGTCTTGTATCGTTCTTCTTTTCCAGATTATGAGTAAATTGAGAGCAAGTAGTAAAACACTAATTTTTGCATCCCTGGGAAATAGCGTCTGACACATAAAATTATTGAATGAATGCTATTGGGAGGTATGAAGTGCGGACAAGTTCAGGAAGGGAACTTGAAGGTGTCATTTTGATTTTGAGGTACCAGCAGTTTCTTTAAGAAGCCAAAATTTGGGAAAGCAGTTATAGCATAGAGTGAAGCTAAGGAGATGATCCAGGGGCTCAGAATGTCATGGCTCTGAGGGTATCAATCCTCTCATCCACAAGTGGGATGCCCTGACTTGCCTCAGTACACAGTGAAAGTTGACAGGTGGTTTAAGAGATAATAGATTTATTTAATTTTTTTAACGTTGTGATACAAATTTCAAAGACAAGTTAATTTTAGACACTAGCCTTTATTTTAATAAGACAGGCTGGAACAGTAACACATCTTTCAGAATTTTTAAAACAAGTCCCAACTTCTTTTCAGCCTCCCATATTACCTTTCCTCTCTACCACCTTTTAAACCTTTTAACACACAAATATGTTTGTAATGGGCCTTCAAGAGTAATGTGAAGAAGTTTGGCTGTGGAAGGATTTCAGGTGAAGGGAGAAGGTCCTATTATTTGAGGAGGTTGAGGGCATTCATGAAATGCATATATATGATTTATAGGAAAACAATCAAATCTTAATCTGAGAAACACACTTCAGAGCAATTCTGGAAGAGTAGGGGTTAATATATTTGAAAAGCAAAGGGAATGGTTCCAGCCTACCATATAATTTCTGTCATCTTAATCAAATTTATAAAGATAGGATTATACTGCCCTTTTATGCCCAAGTTTCTCATAAACTTCCTGTGTAAAAACGCTTTAGGGGGCTTCCCTGGTGGCGCAGTGGTTGGGGGTCCGCCTGCCGATGCAGGGGCCGTGGGTTCGTGCACCGGCCCGGGAAGATCCCACATGCAGCGGCGGAGCGGCTGGGCCCGTGGACCATGACCGCTGAGCCTGCGCGTCCGGAGCCTGTGCTCCGCAGCGGGAGAGGCCACAGCAGTGAGAGGCCCGTGTACAGCAAAACAAAAAAACAAAAAACAAAAAAAACGCTTTAGGAATGGGTTGCTTTCTCAGTATTATCTTCAGTCTTATTATCTTCACTATCAAATCAACACCCACATTTCTTGAGATTGTATTTGGATTACAATATTTTATTACAGAGCTGGAAAAAAAAAAGTCTTAGAGTTGGAAGGGATCGTGTAGCTTTCTTAACCTAACCCTGAACAAATTGAATAGAAAGACAAGTACTTGTCACAGTGCTGTGAAAAGAACATAAATTTTAAAATCAAATAATCTTGGCTGTTGGCCTAGTTCCAGTACCTACCTTTTGGATTTTCTATTAAGTAGGAATGAATTAAATCCCTAAACACTGGAATTAAATTAAAATAGTCATATTAAATGTCTTAACTATTTTAACTGAGTACCTATTGAATTAAATATTCAAATAGATTGTAAACTTGCTTAAAGCAGGACTTTTTATGTTTTCCAGATCTGGAAATAATGCCTGGAACTTAATAGGTGCTCTATAAAATCTTTTAAAATCAATGAGTTTAATAAATTAATGGCTTTGGAGAAATAAAACCCTTTTAGCATTAAAACTATACTGCATATAATTCAATGTTGAATAATTCAAAGTCTATTACATTGACTTCCAGATATCTTGATATTCTTAAAGTGTTTTGATTTTGAGGTGGCAGAAGGTCATTTGGGGGTTCTGGTTTTATGGGTTGATGGAAATGGAGTCTATTAGGCTTTAACCTCTAAACTTTTCAGAGACAGGGATCTTACTCTGTATTTGTCCAGATTTCGGCTTTTTATTAATGTAAGTGAGA